CCTGGGGCACTCAGAAAGCCCACTGTGAGCTGCAACACTTGCACAGCTACAAAACTGCCACTCTGGAGCAATGAAAAGGACATTAAGAGAGGTAATTCCATGTGTAAAGCAATGCTAAATAATGATGGCAACCCCTTGAGAGCTGCCAACCAATTTGGAAAACCTGATTATTCCATCTCTGGCCCCACAAGGTGCTAGTGGGCACTGCATTATTTTTAATTTTCTGACTAATATGTAAGGAATTCAAATAAATTCTAAACTCAGTATTCTGCCTCACCTTGAATTCAAACACTGCCTTTGCTCTGCTGAGTAAATTCCATCCCTCATGAATGTGGAGAAAACAATTAAGATCTACCCTGGGTTTTGGTGAATACTTGATCATTTCAGCTAACAATCAATCTGAGTGTATTTTAAGAGCTTTTGAGAGTCTTATAATAAAAAAGAGAAATAAAATCAATTAATCCATGCACCATAATGCCCAAGTGAGCTCCACATGGAGGACTGATCTGGGGGTAATTTTTAAGAAGTTAAGATGTGTAATGCAAAGACCAACTCCCCATTTAAAGCTGTTTGTTGTATCCCTGAATTGTTAGAAATATCACTTTCACCAACTTCTTTTTCTTCCAACTTTCTAAATGAATTATCTTTACACTGAGGACTATTATTTGTCAATCAGATTTAGCATTCCATCAAAATAAAACAAAACCCCCTGATTTTGCTTTAAAGCCTTCACTCTATCGTTTTGCTGGGTAATACACAAAAACATTAATTTTGTGTAGGAAAGGTCTCCACTTGCAATGTGACCCCACGAGAAAAAGGAAAATGTAAAATACCTACAGAGTATTGTACTGAAAGACAGCTCTGCCAGAAACCATGGCAACTCGGGTGTTAGATGAGAGCTGTATCCTTCTGCCTGGATCACAGATCCCTGTTTATCCATGCAGTGTATCTTGATTTGGGGCTCGAGGAACAGATTTGGTTTATGGATGTAGAAGAGGAAGGAAGAGGTGAGGAAATGGCCTTGTTGTGGGTTCATAAAATGCTAATCCTTCAAAAGCCCCTGCCCTAGGAACAGCGAGCAGGAGCAAACCTGTGCCAAAGGCATCACCTCTGCTGCTTCCCATCCCTGCCAAGCTCCAGTTCTGCACAGGTCACCTCCCTGGGCAGCCTCAGTGACCCCGGGGGCCAGGGGCTGGGCTTTGGGGCTCAGCCCACCTCAGCCAACAGCTGGAAGTGGCCAGGTGAACTGCTCCAAGGACTCAAGGAGACGGGAGTGACTGCCTGAGCAGCAGACACCTGCATGGCAGACCCCTGAAACTTCACCAAGCCAGAGGTGAAGCAGTCGAGGTGAAGATCTAAAATGCTTCATGTTGCTCCAGTCCCATGGATGCTGGGACACCCCCACGCAGCACCAAGAGCCTCTTCCCTCAGCCACCAGCACCAGCACACAGCGTTGGTTGGTGCAGTGCCTGAACTGAGATACTCATACAGGCAACAGCACTGAGAGTATCCCTGTCCCACCTTGCCTTTCCTGAACAAGGAAAGAAAATCTGTGCATTTGCTTCAAAGCCCTGTGTGTGGGGTAGAGGAGCAGCCTGGAGAGATTCACCTCATGCAGCCTTGTCAATACTGGAGACATCTCCTGGGGAGCCCATCATCCTGAGATTCCTCATAACTCAGCTGGAGCAGATGCTTCCCAGGGACTCCTCATCTGACCTACTGCAGCCTTTTAGCTCAGTATGAAATGAATCACTCTAATTTCTCTCCTCTGACTATAAAGCAAGTCTAGACAAGTAACTCAGATGTTTATACTTAAACCTGGATAAAGTAATTTCACTTCTGGGGTCCATATCTGACTAGCTCTGTTACTGCCTCGCCAGGGCAAATCACTTCATTTCTGTCTCGCTCACAGCCCCTTCAGCAGCAGCACAAGGATAAAACATTTTATTACAGTTGTAAAAGCATGGGAAATAATTGCATAGAAGTTTCTGATTAAGTCTGGGCAGACAGAAGCACTGCATTAGAGAAGACTTTAGATTTAGAAATACAAGTGTAGGAGGAATGTGCAGTAAGAACCATTTTCTCCATGCACCAGTCACAAAGGATTGAGTCTTTCCCTAAAATGTTTTATGTTACTTGTCAAGGAAGCCACTTGGTTGATGTGCTGGCCTGACAGGCTGGGGAGGTCATTACTGCAATGCTGGTTAAGTGCTCTGACAAAAGCCTCACTGGAGCCCTGTGTTAAAAATGGAGGGGCTGGGAGGGGGTTCCTCTCTGGGGAGAGCAGCAGTGAGAACGTTGCCCTTCAGAGCCTTTGCTTTGGACAGCAAACGTAAGATGGGGGTTCCAAGAAGGGGGTCAGCATCTCGACAGGCTAGCCAAAACCCCAGAGGGTGGAACTCTGCTGTTTTTCTTAAAAGCATAGAAAAATGTGGCAATTCCTGGACACTGTGTTCCTCTTCTTCCCTCCCCTCTCCTCTTTTCCACGCTGCCAAGAACACGAGAACTTGCTCTCACTAATGAAATCAGGAAGATTATCCCAGCTGCAGTGCTGGGATATGAGTGGACACGAGGCCCATTATTCCAATTTCCTTCATAATGGCCTCACACCTGGACAGTCTGTCAGAGTCAGTCAATTAAAAGCAGCTTCACAAACCCACACTTCACTTCAAAGCTCTTCTCACAGGGAGAAATATCAGCCTCAGCAACCTTACTCTTCAGGCACTGACATGGTACGGTCACACTGCTCCACGGACAACAATCCCCAGGAGTGCTCTCTACAGTTATCATGTCCTCTCAATTCTCAAGTGAGCAGAAAGAAATCCATCTGGCTGTGAACAAACCAGATGCAGACAAATTTTCACAGGCTACTGCTGTGAGCTCTGTCATTGGCCAGCTCTGCTTCTCTTCCAAGAAATAAAATGAAAAATCATTACTCAGAGCTTCCCATGCTCTGAGCTCCCTATCAGCTGGACAGGAGGATTTTGAGGAGTGTTATAGCTCAGGGATCCCTCTCTATTAATCTCTGGATTGTATCTGGTTTCATTAGTTACCACCAGAGCATAATGCAATTAGTGCACATTATACATCAGAGATACACATTAGTCCTCCAGAATGTATGGGCTCATGCCCTCCAGTGAGAGCCTGTTGATGCACTGCAACTTCTTTTTGCCTGTGGGAAGGAGCTAAGCCAGGTCAGCTCTGTGGGGATACCCTGCTTGCACAGAGCACGAGTAGTCCCCATAAAGTCACCATTAATTTCCTCACATTAATGGCATATATGAGATGGAAAGTGATACCTGAAAATCTTCTACACGGTCTTGAGGGCAGCACAATGTGTTTGTGATGCTCAGGAAAGGCAGCACCAAACCCAGATGTTGAACAAAAATCTTCCTGGTGACTTGTTGAATGAACGATTTGTGCCTTTGTGCTGATTACGCTTTGTTCCAGTGCAAAACCATCCAAAATGCAGCACATTTGAATTTCCTTCTGAATCTAGTATTCTGAGAGTGCCCTTTCCCAGCACTGTGAGAATGAAGAGAATTTCTGGACCCACAGTCCCCAGGTTACTCAGACACAGGCACTGCTACCACCCACAGCACCCAACACATGCCTCACCCACCAGGGAAGCACACTGCACCGAGATTCTATTTTCATGTTAATGATGGAAAGCAGTGATTTGCAAAGCAGTGATTTTTCGGAGTTGCTCTTTTCAGGGGTCATTCCAGCAGGTGCTGTGTGATCAGTGATAATTGCCAGGAGTACTGGCTGCTGTCCCCTCACCCAGCTGACAGCAATTTCCCTGGCAGCCAGGCCACACTAAACCAGCAGCACCAGCTGGGAGTGACTGGGATGGAGGAAACTCTCAGCTCCCCTGGAGCAAGCACCACACAGACACTGCACACGGGGCAGAACAGCATCATGTGGTGACAAGCACGCAGTGACTTCCAGGTAAGGATATTAAATAACTCTTTGAATGATCTGAAGGCACCTGCTGCTGTGCCATGCTTTACCAAGGGCTCACTCAACAGGAATATTGTCAGAACCCACTAAAAACGAGAAGATGACCATTGGGAAGAGCTATTTCATATTTTTCTACTGCAGCCTGTTTACCTCAAAATTTAAAGTGGTGAATTACTCTGACACCCCTAAGAGCCACAGCTGCCTTGATCAGCTAGGTGCCTTCCAGCTCCAGCAGATTACTATGAGATTGCCTTCAGGCTGACCATCAGGTCACTGACATATCCTTGAATCTGTTTCCCTTATAATTATAATAATATTTTAAGAAATGGGCAGAAGAATGGAGCAAAACTTATGAGGATAAACTACAAGAATCACAAGTCAGATCGTCTGTTTCCACTTGTCACTAGAAACAGAAGTAATGTTGATAGAGATCATTGGGCTTACAGAATATAAATCTAACCGTGATTAAATTCTGTTCCCTGTGAGCTAAGCCAGGAAGTCAGCTGCTGTCAGCACAGAGATTACAGATGCATTTACAGTCCAAAATCACTACAGAACAATTCTGCTCTTTGTTTTCAAGAAAACATTTAGTAGAACTACGAGGAGCACAACTAGAAAAAGAAGTAACTGCAAAAGATGTATCCACACTACTCATCTTTCCATTTATCTTCCACTTCCTGTGCTTTTGATACCTTTGGAGAAAAGGAGAATGATTCCTCTCCTCCAGGACTGAGCTGGCAGGAGTAACCTGCCCCTGATGATACCTCAGCTAGACAGACTGGGGCCTTCTGAGGAACAGCTCAACCTCATTCTAAGGATGACTGTAAGGTTTGCCAAGTCAGGTGTGTGCCCAGGGGTGCTTGTTTTTCTTTCCATGAACAACATAAGGACCTCAGCACAGAATGTAGAGAGCTACAGTGTACACAGAGCAAAGCTGGGTAACTGCAGCCGTGTGCAACCTTGTAAAATAAAATGATTCACATAACAGTGCAGAGTAACACATTGGTAAGCTCTGATTTCTCAGAGCATTTGCTCACCTTGGATCACAAAGAAACTTGGTTTTTTCACCTTCTTCTCTCCAAATAAGCCATTCTCGGAAAGAGGGATGAACAAACATTCGTGTCATGTCTCTACGTTTGATAAGAAACATAGAAAGGTTCTCCATCCTCTGCTGAAAGTCCTCCCACTCCAAAGTGCCCTCAATGTTACCTGCATTAATGGCCTGAAAAATATGTTCATCTGTTAATGGGTGCAGAGAAGCCACTGCTACGTTCAAGAGAGGCATGACCCGATCAAAGGAAGACTGTGTTGGGAACTTCATATTGCACTGCAACAGGTACACTTCAGACAGGGACACTGGGACCACTTTGTAGCTGGAGCTTTTTAGAACTAGGTATCCTTTCTCTATGAGATCAAAAGTAAGTTTCAGGTATAGGTAGGACCCTTGGCTCAAGGTCTTGAGGTGAGAACTGAGTTTGCCAAACGTAGTGTTGTCCATTTTGCCGTTGAGAGAGATGTTGTTCTGGATCTCCGAGCTGCTGTGTATCCGATGAAGGATGTATGCCTGCAGATCCTGGTCAATGGCTTCATTCTCTTCCAGTCTATCCAAAAATATTCTGTGGAAGGGCAACAGCTTAATTATTTCCTACAAAGAAAGAAAGAAGATAAGATACTCATGCTGGCAGTGTTTACTATTTGTTAAGTAAATTTATTTTCTATTACAATAGCACCTTTGAGACTCCTTTAAGACCTTCCACCAGGGCAAGAACACAAACAGCAGTTTCTGCCCTCAGGGCCTCACACTCTCATCTATAATCAAGCAGGTTGTGTGTGAAATATGACTGAAATAAAAACAAGGAACACTGTTTCTAACAGTATATCCACGGAAGGGGATGATAAATTCACAGAGAGCAGTGCCCTTGTTATTCCTATCCCCCCCAACCATGGACTGACCTCCCATCCCTTCTGCTGTCCTGTAAGAGGGAATGGACATCCAGATGACAGATCTGAGGTCACAAGAAACTTGCTGAAGTTGAGACCAAGAACATCCTTGGGAGCATCCTTCTACATTCCACATCCACGTCAGGACAGATAATACTGAGTATTTTCCAGTGCAAAGCAACTCTGTCTGTCTGTCTGCTGCAGGACACTGCACCCAGGGAATTCTCATCTACTGAACTCCCTGATTCAACATAAACCAAAGATCATCAAAGGCCTCTCCAAAGAAATTCTTGCCTCATGTGCTCTCAGCCACTGTGAGGAGAGGAGAAGTGGTGCAACAGATCTATACAAGGCCAACTCCAGAAAAGCCATAAGCTCTCCAGCAAAATAGAGAGGGAGAGACAGTGCAAGCTCAAGCTGCAGTGTAGACTTTAGGGATGCAAAGCCCTGATTAAATGAGGAATTCAAACCATCGGGATGCAATTTACTTACAATTACAAAAAGATTTCTTCGAAGTGATATTTAATTTACTCCACTGCTGAGCAAAAAATGGACCCCAGCACTGAACAGGAAATAGTCTGTGCTCTCCTGGATCTTGGGAAGCAGCTGCCATTCCCAGTGACAAGGATTATGTGGGGGCTGGCTGCCCTGGTGGGGCTGGAACCAGGCTCAGCTCCTGCTGAGCTTCCACGCCTGCTCACGACAGTCTTGAGCTGAGAAATGTCTCGGCCTAATCAGACTGAAATCATCATGCTCTGGGTCATGCTGAAAGGAAGAAGATCTGAATTCGTTTGTCCTTCCACATGGAGCTGAGGATGTTCTTCAGCTGCACAGGCTGACAGACACCAGGCCCTGCCCTCCTAAGGGCTCCGTGAGTCGGGGCCCATTGGCCCATTGTGAGCTGTCTCACAAAACCATCTGAACGATTTGATGATGAACATTTACTGACAACAATAAGCAGTGATGGATTAGATCCTTCCAAAGCTGTAGAGTGAGTCTGGGGACATGGAAGTAAATCCAAGAATAAAAAAAGCCAAAAGGATAACCTGAAAAAAAAGTGTCTTGAGCAAATCCAGAACACCCAGTAAGATCTTCTTTACCAAAGTCCATCACGACAATGACACAGTTTATCCCTGTTTTGGTCTCAACATACCTGCAGACTTGTCCTGACTGTCACTACCAGCTTCAGCCAGGAAGGGAATTTTCCAATCATTTTGCTCAGGAACGATACTATGGTATCTCCATAATCTGGCTTGTGAAATTCAGCCTCATTTAAACCATCAATTAATATAATGAAATCTTCATCAGGGATCTTCCTCTCTGAGAGAGAGAGAGAAAAAGCATTTATTGGAAAGGCTACAGACACACAACCATAATGTACTGCAATGTCATTACAGAGTTTTCAACCATGACCAGATATTGCCAAAGAAGAAAACACCCACAGTAGCAGCACCTTTTTAATGATACATTAATTGCATATTGACCTTCACAGGTCATCTCGTTCCACCCTCCAGCTGGGGACAGGGACATCTTCCACTAAACCAGGTTGTTCCTACCTGGCCTTGAAAATCCTACAAGAAGTAAATCATGGACTGTTTAAACAGGACTTTTTTGCTGCTGGAGAATATAGCCACCCAGGTGATGCTTACAGTGCAGTCATTTTCTCTATGTCAGACACTGAGAGCTAAGTATATTCCAGATATTGTTCATCTTGTTAGAGAACACTTGGTGCAAATTAGCTTGCCAGCACTCCCAACCAGCAGGTTTTAAAAATGGGAGTCCTGGGCAGTGGCTCCATTGGAGCTGTGTTGAGTGCAGAGCCCAAGAGGAAAAATAAAAAAAAAAAGGTTCAATATAAAATTTTTCCACCTCTCAAAATTTAGGACCAGATAGGGGTCAACCTCCTTGAGAAGAAAAATAAGAATCCTCCAAAACACTCTGAATTAAAGAGCTGAAACATCTCCCAAGGGGCTACTGCAATAACCAGGAATTATTTTCCTTTAGAGCAGCAGTTCCTGAATGTATCCCTTCTCTTCTTTTTTCTGCCAAGAGTGATGATAGGAAAGAACAACCACGCTCCTTCCAGTGACATTTCTCCATGGCAGGAAAACCAACTGCTGTCATGCTGTGCTGGTTCTACATATGCTTTGTGCCTGGTGGAACTGGGCAGCTTGGACCCAGATGCTGCTGCTTAGAGCTTGGACACAGTTTTGAAGAGCTGATTTGAACACCAGGGCTTTGAATCTGGCAGAAGCTGTATCTATTTCATGTTGGATCTTACACTGTAGTGTGTAGGGTGGTAACAAAATTATCTGAACTATTTTTGCAGCCAAGATGCAGCACAGGCACAGTAATAAACATGATTCTGCAGGACAACAGCCTTGAACTCTGCAATGCTCTGCCAGTTTTCATGGCAACGAGCAAAGATCTTAAATTTAGTGACTGTCACAATGAATTAGTTATAACTTGCAGAGGGGAGAAAGAAAAGACAAAATCAATGCTGTATTAGAAAAAGCTCTAAGTCTGTAATCAGGGTAAGGCTTGTCACCAGCTTCTCTAGAAGCTTTATACAGGGTATCTATGGAGTTTTATGATACTAGTCCTTTGGTGAAAGCTTCAGATTCTCCAAAGCCCACTAAATAGTGGCAGGGAAAAGGAAAAAAAGTCACCCCTACAAAAATAAATCAGACCACGTAGGTGTAAGCAGTGTTGTGAATGCAACTGGTTGCTTGTTTCCACCTTGAGAACTGCAAGGACAGGTTTGAAAGAAGCAAGAAAACGGAAAACCAAGTGGGATACTGGGAAAAAATTCCTCCCAATGAGGGTGGGGAGGCTCTGGCACAGGTGCTCAGAGAATCTGTGGCTCCCCCTGGATCCCTGGAAGTGTTCAAAGCCAGGCTGGATGGGGCGTGGAGCACCCCAGCATAGTGGAAGGTGTCCCTGCCTATGGCAGGGGGTGAAACAACATGAGCTTTAAGGTCCCTTCCAACACAAACCATTCCATGATTCTCAGTCTTCCCAGCGTCCCCAGACCTCACCTTGTCTTCAGCTCGAGAAGCGATGCAGATTAATCCACCGCTTCCTTCCGACGCCCAGATCCCATCAGGCGTCATTTTCCAAATCACAACAAAGAAAGGCCCGCGGGCCCGGGGAGGTGTGGGGAACACGAGTACCTTTGTGCAGGGTCTCCAGGGGCTCCAGGACCCCCCTGCGGAAGGAGGCCATGGGGTCCTGCACGCAGGAGCGGAGGCTGAGCAGGCTCTGCAGGTGCGGCTCTCGCAGCAGCTGCTCCCGGTACGCCACCAGCTGCGGCGAGCGGCACAGCAGCGCGGCCACGTTGTGCACGAACTCGGGCACCAGGCACGTGTAGGCGTTGTCAGCCTGGCAGTAGTGGTAAGCTACGACCTAGCAAAGAGAAAAGAATGAAAAACTCCGTGTCTTCATCAGAGATGTCATGTTGGGACAGTTGTAAAAGCAGCAGTTTTTCCTTTGGTGACTTTGATCTGTTCTGGCAGGTGAGTCTTTAAGAGCAACGAGTGTTAACTACCCAAGACAAGAATCCAGACAAATCAGTTGGTAAAAGCAGGCACTGATCCTGAAAAATGACTGGACCTCCCACTTAAGGAATAAATGAAATAAAGCTGTAGCTGTTTGCAGAGACAGACAGACAGCGACAGTAGCTGACATCTCTGAAGTGCTGTGCAGAGCTCACATTGCTGCTCTGAGCTCTGTTTTAGGACTTGGTGCTAGTAACAACTTGTGATTGTTTTCTTGAACTTATTCTTTGCTTGCTTTGTTTCAACACGTCAAGCTCTGTGGAAGTGGACAGACAGCACTCCCTGAGTCCATCACAGCACGGCAGCACCTTGGAAGTACAGATTCCCCTCAACTGGGGGTGATGCAGGCTCACTGCACTTTACTCATACACTCTGATCCCATGCTCCATTAAAAAAAAGAAATTCAATTAAATAAAAAAAATTCCCTTTTTCCCAGCTTTCCCCTAATTTTTCCAGCTCAGCAAACCGCTAAAACCCTGCCCACTTATTAAAATAAGCAGAAAACCAGTGATATCTTCTCAGGCCATGCTGCCAACCTTCTTGTTTTCTTTTGCAATATAAAAAAGGCCCTCAAAATTCTGTCTCTGCTTACGAATCCCTTGGGAGGCTGCTCTGGCACAGCTCCAGCCCAGCTTCTCCTGCTCCCTTGCTGCCTCCAGCCTCAGGCACTGCCTACCCATTTGGAATGAGCCTCTGCCAGGGCACAAAGCTTTTCTCCAGCTCCCATTCTGGATTCGGTTTTCTTTTCAAACATCACTGAGTATCCAAAAATATCCCAGCAAGGCAGGTGGGAGCAGTTCTGTACCAAAACCACCAGTGCCCTGGAGCACTGTAGCACAGAATGTTGCAAAATAAATTGCATTTCTGAACTTGGGAAGGACACTAGCTGAGGACACCATGCAAAGGAAAGGCTCCTCTGGGGCTCGAGGCAGCTGGGATGAAATGTGCCTATGGCTTTGGACATGATGAAGGCTTTCTGTCTCTCCACCTGCAATATCTACCCCTCGGATTGCAGGAGGCTCCAGGGTGGCCGGGACGGTGAAGGGTGGTACCAAGGAATGAACTCATCAGGCTGGGGTCCTCACCCATTGCTGGTTCAGCACTAGCTTTTAATTTTCAATATGAAATTACCAATAGGGTATAATGCAGTGCTTTCCTTTCCCAGTCAAAACGAGGTGTGACACAGGCAGCGATGAGAAAGCTGGGCTGCTATTTCAAGCATCAAGCCCTAATACCTGTTCTTAAGTTTTAATGGATACCTCCAAATTCCTCACAGAATTTTTCCTAACAGCCAGTAAAAGTATAATGAATTCCCTTAGAGAACAGCACTGTGTAAAGTATTTATAAAGGTAATGATTTCTTTTCATCAATCCTATTTATTTGGGGATTATAACTTGTGCATTTCACAGAATGAAGTTTGTAAGTTGCCATTCATTGCTATTAGGTTTCATTAACAGAAATTACTCAGATTTCCTATGCAATTGGTGCATAGACACAAAAATAAAGTCTCTTTTAATGAGAGGCCAATTAACTTCTTCCAGGAATCTGAGGAGTTGTGTCATGGAAAAAGGGTCACATGTAATCATTATCACCATCAGATTTTGGGACATACGTGCAATTACAATCCAATTAATTTCAGCCACTTCCATGCATTAGTTAGGCTTGATGATCTTAGATCTTAACAATTCTATGATTCCATGATTCCTGATCCTCATGCTCAATTTACTGGTGTATCAACTAAGTCTTATAATCAGCAGGATAAACATAATGCTCAATGGGTGGATCTGAAGCTAAAGCAGTAAGCAAGAAAGATTCTGGGAAGTCAACCAAAGCAAAGGCAGAATGACCTTCTCAGAAAATGCAACCTGAGCCAGAATTTCATCTTCATGAAATCGAACTATTTTTCCTTAAAATAATGCTTAAACAAGTTCCAATCATGCCTTATCATAAGCAAATTCTTGAGATAGACATTTAATTTTATCTAGAAACTATTACAATAAATGGAATCACCAGGGAACATCATGTGGTTCCAAAAGTATGGGCACACCTGGATGTTGTGTCCAGCAAATTATTTGTGTCTGATACAATTTAAAACATAATTTTTCTGACTGTAGTTTCAATTTGAACTTTGTCATCCCGTTGCACTAAATGCTATAAACACTAAATTAGACTTCCAAAACTTTTAAACTTTTATGTCAGCTATCGGGTTTATTAAATGATTTCCTTGTTGTAAGTCATGGGATTGCAAAGCACACAAGGCCTATGAGCAACCCTAAAGCAAGGAGTGGGTTACAATAAAGGATGGGAAAAGTAACACCTACATCCAGTCAAATGCTAAAGTACCTGCTCATGTAATTTTTGTAAGGGCTGAGAATGGAGTCAAGGGACTCCATCCTGAGAAACCAAGGTGATGTGGTTTTTATATTAACTATCAAATGCCTGAAGTTAAAAATTTGTGTAGTTTCCTTTATTGCTTGAAAAGGAGCTGCAAAATAGTTGACACTTGTATGATGAGTATTTTACTTCCAAGGAGCACCCCCTCTCCTAAAATGATGTGTAGAATCCATCTGGCTACACACTAAAGCAGCACATTTATCATGAGCTTCTTGGTAGCTCATTTTTCTAAATATTAATTGTGTGTTACAAGATTTGAGGAACACCAGATGTAGACAGAGAGCACAGTGAATGGACCATGGCCAACATGACCCCATTTCCTCCCAGAGTGGGGTCAAGGAGCCCCAAAACGCTCATTTACTTGGAAATAACATAAACTTCACCTTTGTAACTGCCAAAGCAGAATGATGAAGACATTTTCTGTATTCTCTCTAGGTGTTTAACCCAGTAGCTCTTCAGGAGTCTCTTCTCCCAACCCTTCCAACACCAGTCATTCTTACTCTCTCTTTTTTTGCCACAATCAATTCCCAATTCTGCCTTCGTCCAGCCTCATGTAACCTTCACCTTCCTGCTGTCCGAGGGAAACAGCTGCTGGATGAAGGATGTTAAAAGCAAAACAGCAATTCTGAAGATAATGGAAAATGCTGGTGCATGAGTGGGCAAGAGCCTCATGAATGGAGCAAGAGGAAGAGGGTGAGAGGGCAAAGGAGAGGGGAAAAAATGAGACACAAAGGAGATTGTGTATCAGTCATCAAGTACAGAGGGTGAGAAGGGACTGAACTGTGAGGGAGGAAAAGAAAAGAAAGAGAAGGGGAACAAGCGACAGGGCAGGAGAGGGAGACGATAACGGGAAAGGCTGGAGGGACAGCACGAGCATCAAAGCAGTGGGAGGGTCTGGAGATGGCTCAAGAGAAATAAATTATCTTTAATTATTAGCACAGGTCAATTTTAAGCAGTTCTCCAGCACCACTTCTGAAACAGAATCTGCTCCATTTAGGCAGCATTCCTTTGCCATCCCACCTCCTTTGTAGTTCGTCTTGGCTTCCTTCTGGAAGAGTGTCACCCAAGGACAGCCAACCCCTCTTGGACCAACCTCTCAGATCCCTGAGCTCACATCAACACCCCACTCCCTCCAGTGCTCTTAAAGGGCTTCAGCATTATTTTAACCTTCAACAAGATTTTTTTTGGTAACCCACACAAAATAGCTTCAAATAAATGCAGTGTTAACACTTTGACCTGCCACTATGCCACATGCCAGGCACAATGCTGGCTGTGATAATGGAAACGGCCATCAGCACTGCACATGACTGTGACCCAGTACGTGGCACTGGGTGACCCAGTTTACTGGGAATGTTCATTATTTTTACACAGCTGAGTATGCTGGTAAATGCCCTCTGAAACTCATTAGTGACCCAGGGCATCAAGGCTCAGCAGCAATGAATCCCTCCACCTCTGTGTAAGGTAGGAGCACTCTCCTTTTATATGCCTGCAGCAACGTTAGTGATGCTTTGGATATGGCTTGGAGGATGGAGAAGAGCCTCTGGAGCCACCAGCTGTGTTCAGCATCAGCAAAATGCACTCAGCAAAATGGATGTGCAGCTCCTCCACCAGCTGCTCTGCACGGGGTACAATCCATTAGTGCAGCCGAGCTGGGTTTCAGGTCCATTTGTTTAAGTGCTGCTGCCACAAGCTACCACACAGCATCCAGAAACTCGGAGAATAAAGCTCTTCATTCAAACTAGGTAGCCAATCCCTTAAAAATCCTATGTGAGTAAAGGATAAACCTTCAGGGAAAAGGGAAGGTCAGCATGGCAGGACTGAGTCGAGCTCCTGCTTGCCAGTCAGCAGTTACTTAGTTCGAAAATTAAAGATTTGTTCGTCTCTGACATTAAGAGCTAAAAGCAAACTTTGCCCCCAAGAATTTACCGAACAAAAACCAGGCAGAAAAGTACAGCCCTGAGTAATCCAGAGGAGGAAAAGCAACTGTCTGTTCACCTTTCATTTCTGTCATCACAGATACACAACTTCTGAATATTGGGATAAGTGACATTTTCAGAGGGAAGGGGAGTGGGTGAGAGGAAAACGAGCTTCCCACCAGCATTCTGGAGCCTGCACCAACCATTACCTAAGACTGTTTGTATATTATTAACCTGCTTTTGTAACAATCTGCATTTCTCCAGCACAGTGACCTCAGCCCAATCTGAGAACATCCTGCTCTGCTCAGTACAGGCAGAGGTGGAACATCTGCACACAGCTTTATCCAGCTCCTCACATATGGTTCATCTAGCTCCTAAAATAACCCTGACAATTGTGGTTGTCCATCACTGTCAACACCTTCTTCTGTACTTCAATTCTGACTTTAGTGTAAATGGGAATATGAAACACACATATCCAAGAAATACTTTTCCATCCACACTGGCCTAAAGGGTTCTTCTCTTCCTTTGGCTCTTTTTCCTTCAGCCAGTTGGACAAAGCCTGTATAAGGAGGCCATCAGCAACTCTTTTTTTATTCCATATCTACTGACACAGGAATATGCTGTTCCTCTCCCCCCTCCTCCAGCACTAAAGGACATTCCAGCCTTTTTTTCTCCTTCTTTTCATTTTTGTGTTAGACTTTGGAAAGCCTTTAGCTTATCTATATGAAGGTTTTCCTAAACTGTCCCCTCAAATGCTTGGAGATTGTGGCATCAGACATTCAGATTTAGAAGCTGAATTATTTCAACCAACTGTTTTTGCTGTTGTCTACTAGCCATTCAGTGGTTTTGCTCAGCTAAGAGTTCAGCATCTTCAAAGCCTCAAAATTCTCATGCTGCCTCAAAGGCAAGGCACAAGTGTGACAAGGAGGCGACTGCATGCACAACAAAGAGCTCCATGCTGTTATTTTAACGGATTTCCAATTCTGCTGCCAGGTCAGTAATGCTTCTTCCCCCACTGTCACTCGAGATGTCAAACCCCACAAGGACAGGGAGTGTTTGTTTTCTTGAGGAGGACATCACATGGCTCAGCTCTTTCCAAGCAAATCAATTCATCTGCTGTTGTCAGCCACGATTCCTCAGTGGTGATGCTGAGTTGTGCTACCCCAGGAGGTTACTACGAGTGCACTACACACATGACTCCCAGCTATCAGTTTGACAAACATCCTTAACCATTTTATTTGTCTTTATTTTCTTCCTGAGGCTTGATAATCCATCAAACTCACTGTTTCTAGTGTGCTGCAAAGCCCTTCTGATGCAATAAATCAAACTGCTGTTTATGACAAAGAATAAACAGGAACATGGAGCTCAAAAAATTAATTACAAAATTGAACAAAACATAAAAACTCCTATCTTTCCAGAACAATTTCCCTTCAGGGCAGGAAATGAAAAGCTTTGAGTGAGGATTTAAGCATGTGCTTTATTTCAATGCATGTCTTCATCCACACCTGGAAGTCACACACTCTTCCTAAGTAATAAACCACTAACACCTGGTTACATCTCCCTCCCAGCATCAGTTATCCAAGGACCACTACCTACAGGGATCACTTTTCATTTTACTAGCCAGGGAATGGGAGTGAGGCAGATGAGATGCTGGTCCCCAAGGATCCCAAAAAGGGTAACAGCAATGCTGGGAACAGACCCAAGGCCCCCGAATGCTGAATCAAGCCGTGCTGTGGCTCTGTGTCATCCCAGGAACTGTTTGCTGAACTTGATGGAGCTTTTTGTAAGTTCCATGTGCTGTGTCAGCAATCCAGGCATAAGAAGCGATTCCAAGTGCTCTAAGGGCAACTCATCAGCCTTGGCATTGATCTGTTCATCAAGGCCTGACATCTGGATGCTGGGGACTGTTATTTCTGGAATCTGCCTCCATTTACAGTAGTGAAGATTTACTGGGAGATTAATGATCTTGCTCCCAGTGGGTAATCCTGCTGCAGGCACTGTGGGCAGCTCATCTCCCAACCTCAGCTGTTGTGTTCTGACAGCAACACACGGGATTTATTCTACTAAAAAAATTTTGGCTAAAGTATGAGCAGGACCTTAAAACCGTGCCTAAAGAGTCTGCAGGTACAGCAACCTATTTTTACTTTAATTTTGGCTGTCAGGATTTTTTTTACCTCTTTCTCCAGTGATCGGAGATGCCAAAAAAGCTTCTGTGAGTGATCTGTGTCAGGGATGTGATACAGTGTTTGAATGAGCCATATTCCTTCCCTTTCCCAGGAGGTAACTGAAGCTAAAACGGCATCCATTTATCAATTACATACCCAGCAGGATGACTTAAGCACTCAGGGGATGTGATAGATGAGGTATTTTAAGCAGAGATAGCACACTTTATTGCCCTTTCTGGTAGTCTGCAGAGCTTCAGATTTGCAAGGAATACAATGACTAATGCATCCTGAACAAAACCAGACCTGGGCATTCCACTCCTTTCAAGAACTCCGTGTGGAAGAGGAGAGTATCAAATCTTTGTATTTATTTACACAGCACATGCTCCCTGCCTGGCCATCTGTGTGCAGCAGGAAAGCAGACAGGACAAGACAGTATCTGGCACAAAAAGCCAAGCAAAACACGTCCTGGCAATAACTCACAACAGAGACTTTTCTTGCTGTTTTCCTCTCCAAAGTGGGAGCAGGTGACAGGAAAGCATTAACTGCTCCCATCCTCCCAAAAGGTGGAGGAGGAGCAAGAGCAAAGTCCTTGGGTTTCAAAGCAATAGAATGGCATCTTTCCACCACCACAGAATTAGAGCTAAATCTCAGTAATACAATAAAATTTAAGCTGTAAATCTCATGTACATAAGTGATAGTGTTCCACATGTTCCATACAAACTACACCTGCCAAAACACCAAGGAATTTCTGTATTGTTCCAAAGGCTATGGCATACTTTGCAGAATTTTCCAAAAAATTCCCGAGTGCACACACAGCATTAACATTCAGCTTGGGCCTTCCCCACGTACAGTTTTCAAACAAAACACCGCTCAAACACTGGGCAATTTTGTTCTCAGTGCTGAAGGAAAGACACAATTACTTCTGTAATTGTGTCATATCCTAATATTTGTAATGAGAAAGTAGGGTGGCTGTGAAAGACAAACCCTGAGAGAAGCAAGGGAGCGTATTTGATGCCGTGGGAGCTTCATTTTAGAGAAGTACCTTTCCTAGGTGCTACAACTCCTTCCAGAAGTGTCTCCCGAGGCTCGCCCAGTGAGCGCCTGAACGCGCGGAGTTCCCAAGTGACGCCGAGGGCCGGGGAGTGCCACGGAAAGCACCCGGTCCCCAAGGAGCCCCCCGCCCCGGGTGTTCCTGTACCTGCGAGGCCAATCTCCTCATGGCCTCCTCCTGGCGCCGGCGCAGCTCGGGGGTCCCGGGGCAGCTCCCGCTGGCGATGGCCGCGTGGGCAGCAGGCGGCTGGGCCAAGGGCAGCTCGCGGCTGGCATCCACATCTGGCCAAGGAAAGACGTGAGCACCAGCGTTATCACACGCGCCACGCAGCTGCGGCTTCCTAGGCACGGCCCTGGAAACACTTCCCACAAATACTCTGGTTGGGATTTCAGGGATTGCCAGGCCAGAGGCTTCTCAAGAAACTTATTTTAGAAGCGGGAAAGGACCGCTAAGAAAAAGCCTTGAGTTTGTCTTGTTCATCTTCCCCCCTGTAATTTCATTGACTTTAAAATAATGACAGTAATGGAGTGAACTGGGCCCTCTGGCAAGCTCTGCCTTCAGGTTTGGTGGAGTTGAGTGCAGAGCTCTCTTGCTCTGCATTTCTGCCAACAGACCTTCCCTTGTTACGAACCATTGCTGGTTAATTTGGTTCCAAGTCCTCCTTCAGCACAGACAGCCAATTCTTCTGAATTACAGGCCTATTTTCTAACATAAATAAACGAAGAGCCCCAGCTAATACAGCCATCTGAAGCCCATTAATTTAATCGGGAGGAGAGGAGCAGGAGCAGCACAAGGATCTGGAAAAGGCGTGCAAGCAAGTAATAAATTATCCTGGAATCATCTCTGGCAAATTTAACTGTGTTCTAGTGTATTTTAACTGCTTCTTTTGCCCGGTAAAGCAGAAATTGGCTTTTCCAGCAGACTGCTAGAGAAGCTCATCCACCTGGCTTTTGTAGATAACATTCCCAAACCATTTTTATTTTCACTTCTAAGTACTCATATGGAGGATTTTTGAATGATACCACAACGTGCAGCACTCAGTGATGTCTAATTATTGATTATTTTAAGAACACCACCACTCTGAAGTGCAGTCTGTACTGGCAGAGGATTCTCCTGACTGGATTGCTGCAATGCATCCCTGAGTTTGACTGGAAATAATCATGCAAACAATGACCCATTTAATGGCAAACAACAGAGGAGGATGACTGCTGCCTCCATAATTAAACCCTGAATGTATTAGAATGAGGCACATTCTTGATTCTGAGCATAACACCACTGTCACCTGTATTAATTTTCTGAAAGAGGAATTAGAAGTATGATGCTCTATTCAAGCCAGTTTAACTAGCTGATTGCACAACTGCCAAAGCAGATTCAGACCATCTGATTAGCATGTATTAATTAGCATAGATTTAATAACCATAATAGATTTTTTTCTCAGCATATGGAAAAAGAAATGAAAAAAAAAAATATCGCAAAATCAGAGATGAATCACAGAATACCCTGAATTGGAAGGGACCCGCAAGGATCTTGCAGAATAATTATTATCTTCTATAGCTAGAGTAGTACTTGTGATCTCTTTAGGAAATCAAGTCAAAATAATTATTGATTCTGAAGGCTTCCATCCTAATAACTAACACAGGAATGATTCAACTTTCAACTCCACAGACACACAACTGAAAAATGTGTTAGGTGGGACTAAGGATCTTCATCATCTGTGGGCGAAGGGTGCAGGGCACCTCACGTGAGGAATCCAGCTTTTAGTCCAGAAGGAGTTAAGCACAGTCATCTCTTTAATGTCCACCATCACCCTAAGCAGACTGGGGGCACACACTGGCAGCTGGTGCACTGCAGAGCTGCCGTTAAAATACAGAAACAAGCCCTGCCTTTCACTACGCATTGTTCATTTAGCTCTGACAAGTGCCACTGTTCAACATGCCAGCCCTGCTGACATTTCAGCTCTTCTAACAGGGCAAGAGCACAGCATTCCAGTAAACAGATTTAACTACAGCTTCACTGAGATACAGTGACCTACATCCTTAAAGATACCTTCAGGTACCTAACTCACTATTTTTAGTCCTGTCTTACTTACTGAGAGCTGAGTGATTTCAAAATGTTGTCATCTCCACCTGCAAACCTGCCAGAGCACAGTGATGGGAACAGGATGGGACCAGAGGAGGTGGAGCAATTTTGGGTCCTGAGCCTACATGGGCTCGTGACCTGCATGGAATATTTATACCATGATCCAGTGAGATAAACAATCCATACGGGAAGAAGAATGCACTGGCATGGATTCATAATTATAGAATACTGGCTGCCTGATCCAGCTGGAGATGTCATGAGCAGGGGGATTGGACTACATGACCTTCAAAGGTCCCTTCTAAACCCAAACCATTCTGTGATTCTATGATTCTAAAATTGGAGTCTTCCCAGTCGGGGAAAGTCTGTGATGTTTCTAAGCCAAACAAGTCAGAGACAGACTACTCTGACTCTTCAAAAAGCAGCTTTGGAACAAGAGCAGTATAAAAGCTGCCTGTAGCTGAAGAGGGATTTTACACAAGGGCATGGAGTGAAAGGACAAGAAGAAATGGCCTCAAGCTGAAGGAAGGTAGATTTAGATTAGATATTAAGAAGGAATTGCTCCCTGTGAGGGTGGGGAGGCCCTGGCACAGGGTGTCCAGGGAAGCTGTGGTTGCCTCATCTCTGGAAGTGTCCAAGGCCAGGCTGGATGAGGCTTGGAGCAACCTGGGCTAGTGGAAGGCGTCTCTGCCTAGGGCAGGAACGAGATAATCTTTAAAGTCCTTTCCAACCCAAACCATTCAGGGATTCTGTGACATATTTCTCAAAGGTCTTTCCTTCGCTTGACAAGAAGGACTAAGCTGATTTCTTGGGCCTGAAGAGAAATGGGGTTATTTGAGCCAAGACCACTCTAGAAGCCGACTCTGAGTTTTGGAGAGCCGCGTGCTGCTGTCCTTACGTTTTGGAGAGGCGTGGGGGCTATCGGAGGCGATCTGCCTCATCCTGGTGCCGTGGCAGCTGAGCGCCACCAGCCTGGAGATGATGGCGGTTTTGCCGAAGCCGATGTTGCCGACGATCACCACGCCGCGGTTGACGCTGGCGTTGGGGCTCTGCAGCTGGGCATCGATCTCGTGGAACACCCAGTCCCGGCCCACGAACACCGACTCCGTGGTGATGCTGGGCACCTCGAAGAGCAGCGGCTTCAGGGAGATGTCGGGGGGTCTGTAGGGCGCAAAGCGCACTGCAAAGGAGACGTGGGAACAACATCAGCATCCACGCCACAGGGGAAGGCAGAGGTTGGGAAATGGTGTTTATTTATCTGTCTCACACAGAAATCTTTCTGTTGCGAAAGGTGAAAAGAAAACACAATTTAGCCTAAAAAAACTAAACTAGTCTTCAGTGTTTCTAAGAAGCACATGAAACTCTCTTACTCACAAGGCAACAGTATTAAACACATACCGTGAGGAAAATCCCTTGGAAATAATAAAAACGATTTAAGGAAAACACACTGCTGCCATATTACATATACAGATCCACAATATATTGGGGGAGTGGGAACTATCCTCTCCTCCATCCTAAACCTCACCCAAAAATCTTGGCTCTTCCTATCCTGCAGCACTGCTGACATTTGCTTTTTGGAGAAGAAAACCCATGGTACATCACAGCCATCAGCTTGTGCCTTGGGTTACAGCAACCTAAAAAGCCTCAAATTCCCAGGAATGAAAATAGGGAAAGCAAAAATTGCCTTCCTCATCCTATTGAAAACCTGTCACTGGGATGAATCCTTATCACACTCTTAGTGTTGGGATTCCTCTATTGCTCCCCTGCTTAAAATAATTGATTTAACAAAAAAATAGCAGAGATAATCTCCCATTTAAGTCTCTCTCACTGGGATTTTGGAACACTGGGAACAGACAGTGGGCTATAATGTGTCGCCAGCACAGGGCCAGGAATGTCTTCACTATTTCAGCCCAGTGCCTAGATGAGGGATATTAAAATTAAACACAAGTTTAGGATTTCCAGCTGGAACAAAGAGATGCAATTTCACAGCTATAGCTGCAAAATGCAGCGTTTCAGGGAAGAATCCCCCCTTGCACATGCAATGACATGAAAATGTTTCCAAATAGTGATGGTTTTCTTTTTCACATCTTCTTCTCCCTCTCTTTTTAAAAACAGCACAGCACCTCAGATAGGATCAGAAACAATTTTTTAAAAACTCAAACACTGCTGCAATTCTCATGCAAATGTCACAAAAAGGGGGGTAAAAAACCTAAAATGCAGAAGGAATATGTAGTGCTGCAAGGGTTTTAAAAGTGTGTCTGGAAAACAATTTGATTCTGTTCCTACAATAAAGTTGAATGTTTTGGATGCAATCACTGCAAATTACACAGCTTTGGCAAGCTGCTGCCTCTGAACATATGGAAATTTGGTCTATCAAACTTTGCTTTCTTCACTTACTGCCTGCTAATGCACTTCTAGAACTGCCTCAGCAGCCAGGAGGATTTCATTACAGACTGCTATCCAAAGCTCACAAACCCACTCTTTGGGGGGCTCGTGTGTTTGGTACAAAGCCCAGCCAGGCTGTACCAGGTCAAGCATGGTGGGTGAAAACGCAGCCTGTGCCTTCCAGCTTCCCAGTTCCTCACCCTAAGGTGATGGGCTCAAAAAAGACCCCTAGAGAACAGGAATGTTTCATGTGTAGCCAAAAGAAACTCCTCTTCTATGCAGAGGAGAATAAACCGGTGTCATGGCACAGAAACAACGTGGAAATATCCCAAATGAGCTTTCTCATCTTACCATCTTACTCATCTATGCAACAAAAAATGATGGGGCTGAAGCATTAGCCCGGTGATCTGCTGCAGACTTAGGACTGTCACACTGACAGCTTAAGCACGTGGTGGAAGACTGAGCTCAGATTAAGAGTGATGTAAATTGAAGGGTGGGCTGAAATCCCAAGGACATGGAGAAAATCAAGCTGGAGCTGCCTGGGAATAAGCAAAACACTAAAATGTCAGCCCTGGCTCCTCTTCTCATTGCTAATATCTTGTTTGTAGAATTTGCCACAAAGAGCCACAAAAACTTCCCCTCTCAAAAGGCTTTTTAGAAGTCAAAGAGCTGCCTGAATACAGGCATTGTGAGCATCCCTACAAGTGCTGGCTGAGCTGGTGGCCCAGTCATTTTGCACTGGGCCCCTTCCCCACTGGTGCACTGCAGAATGCATGAGGGAACTGCAATCCCTGGCCTTGATTGAAAAAAATAAGAAAAAACAGTAGTAGTCCATAAAATTTCACATTTTAACAACTTATCAAAGTATTAAGCCCAAGGAGACCAGCTGAGAGCTGGCAGTATTCATCCTGGAGAAGAGCCAAGAGAAGGCTCTGGGATGACCTTACTGCAGCCTTTCAGTGCCTAAAGAGGCTCTAAGAGAGCAGGAGAGGGACTTTGGACAAGGGCATGAAGGGACAGGACAAGGGGGAATGGCCAGAGGGCAGGGTTGGATGAGATATTAGAAAGGAATTGCTCTCTGTGAGGGTGGGCAGGGCTGGCACAGGGTGCCCAGAGCAGCTGTGGCTGCCCCTGGATCCCTGGCAGTGCCCAAGGCCAGGCTGGACACTGGGACAGCCTGGGACAGTGGGAGGTGTCCCTGCCATGGCAGGGGTGGCACGGAATGGGCTCTAAGGTCCTTTTCAACCCAAAGCATGCTGGGGTTCTGCTTTTCATACGGACATGGATGAAGTGGCTGCTGCCCGAGCCCCTGGCTCTGCTCCTACCTCGCAGGTCCTGCTGTGCCCGGGCGCCGGCCGCGCTCTGCCGCGGCATCCGCAGCGACGTGCGCAGGGGGGTGTGTCTCTGCTCGTCCAGGTAAGCCAGATCTTCCAGGTGCGCCGAGCTGGTGGCTGCCACGAGAAAGCAAAGAAGTACATCACACCTGGCTTTTGGATCTCGTGATCTGGTTATTGTATTTTTCAGTTTTTAATGAAAATACATGGAGATGAAACTACCTTGAGACAACAGACCTGACGTGAACCAAGTACCATTTCCCCTGGGAAGAAGTAAAGTGTTTTGGTGACTTTTTCTCATGCTTCATCGGTGTTTGGTCTGGTCTGGTCTCTTGTTGATGGTCCCAAATAAAAGAAGATATATGGAAAACGGAGACATGGAGTCTCTCGTATCTGATCTCAATTCTGCCAATCATAAACTCAGTCATGTCTTTGCAAAGCTGACAGAGACACTTAACATTAAAGCCCATCCAAGTACCACCCCTGCCATGTCAGGGACACCTTCCACCGTCCCAGGGTGCTCCAGTCCCAGTGTCCAGCCTGGCCCCGGGCACTGCCAGGGATCCAGGGGCAGCCACAGCTGCTCTGGGCACCTGTGCCAGCCCTGCCCACCTTCACAGGAAAGAACATGCTCTAAGAACTGCTCCTAGCTGTAAACTGCTCAGTGGCAGAAGGGACACAATACAATCAGTGACTGCACTTTGTAAGCTGCTATAAAAATGGGTATTTTTGTGCTGTTTTGGAAGATATCTGGGGAGAACCTGAAAAAAAAAAATAAAAAAAGGAGGAAAAGAAGCCAGCAGGGATTAAGTGCTGCTAAGCTTTGCTTCTCAAGAACAAATTCAACTGCATTTGAAAAAAAAAAAAAAGAGAAGAAAACTGTTTTAGCAAAGCTGTGAATTCATGATTACCTTAAAATGCAGAATACCATGGAATACCAGTAAAAGGCAGGTTTTTGCCCCACTCTCAGCTTCACTGTCTCCACACTGATGACCTTGAGGCTCAAAATTAATATACCTGTTTTCTGGTGGGTTCATTTTCAGTTGGATTAGTCAACTAATCTGGTGTATCAAGCGGTTACCCAACATGTGTCACCAGCGCAAGGACATGGAATTGGCAGCTCAGCATTAACTCTTTAAGCAATGTCACATTTGTACATAGACTTAAATCAACCCTGAAACTGCACTTGTTTTCCCTTTCCCATCATTCAGGCACAAAGATAATGAGGTTAAACTGTTTGGGGAAAACCACTCACATAAATCCATTATCTGAACCCCATAATTTTCTGGTGTCATAAGCATATAGGAGCTAATATATGATAATTTGATGATAAAACGTTATCCTGAATTCTCATCATAGCTACTTCCACAATTTAACCTGGGATACGAACTGTGTTAGCTGACATAGTACTTCAAAGCAGCAAAATCTCAACCAAAAAACAAACATCCAGAAGGGAAAGTTGTTCTTGAACTTTACTGGATAGCTACCTTCCTCTTGAAATAGCATTTGCCTCTAAGTGCATCAAGCAAGTCAACAGCTTCCAAAGACAATTAAATCAACACACATGTATTTAAATTTGTGGTGCCTAGCCTGCTCTGTTTGCTTTGGAAGGTGTTCACACAGTGTCATTTAGAAGGAATTCACCTAAAGCAAGCAGGCTATGCAAGCAGAGTTTTCGAGTATTTTTCTGTCCCCTCTCTCCGGACTGAAATCTCAGGTTTTCAGTCTGTGCTGCACCTCCATGCTCTGGGCTTGTACTTCACCATCTATAAATCTCATTTCTACATTGCTTTTAGGTCTGTGACTGGCCAAAGTGGGATTAAAAAGGAAAACTAATCCAGTTATGCAATGCAGCCTGGTTCAGCAAGGGATGCTGATTTAACAGACAATCCCAGGCTCTTTGGGTATCTATCAGAATTGTCTCTGGGTTTTCTGGAGTAGTGTCTGCCACGACTCAGAATTCAAAGTGTGGATTTCTCCACATGCCTACACAGACACATAGACAACACATTTTACCCCAGAGAAGTTACCTAGCAAAAGAAAAAAATATGGGGCAATAGAGGAATGGGGAGTAATTCCAGGCAAGCAGCTTTGCAGCAAAGCTTTAATATTTCTAATCCTATCTCCTTTTGTGCCCTGCTGTTACCAGCTTCAGGGGAACGCTCAGCAGGCTGGTAAAAGACATCAATAAGGTATGGCACAGCATCATTTAGAAATGTTTCAAAGAGCAGACATGAATTTAAATGAAAAGAATGTTGCTTTTATGCCAAGACAAAAAATGCCAGCAAATGCCAGGTGCTGTGAGGTGTGAGATGTTTGGGGCACAGTCCATCACGAGAGATGGGACCCAGAGCAAATCTTCTGTAGACAGAAAGTACCACCATTCTCTTAACTCCAGAACTCTTCAGGTCTTCAGAGAACATGAGACACTTGATTTTACTTGCAAGGAATCCTTTGAAATAGTAGAAATGGCTATGATGTCTTGACATCTTAAACCCAAGACATTTGCATTGTTATGACAGTAAGGAATCTGTTTTTTGACGTTTAAAACATATTTTCCCGTAATCTTGTTGTACAATTTTACAAGAAAGGGATCATAAACTGGTGAAATAACCATTAAACACCATCAGAAACATTTTTCTACAGAGAAATTTTCCATTTAGAACTAGTAAGTCTAACAAAAAACCAATTTTTAACATTCTTAAGGATAATGACTCCAGGAAGAAGATTTCATCTTGGATAAGGAAACACAAGAAGGGCTGTGGCATCTGTGTGTTGTGTCTGGCTCTGACCTAAAGGCACTAATATGAATTTCTTACCTGCTACTGAATTTGGCCGAGGCATAAGGTAAAGAGGAATTGACTGCACGGACTGGGACAGGACGGTCTCCAGGCTCCTCTCGGGGATTTTGTTGAGGCTGTAGGTGGAGGCTGACATGTTCTCATCCACACGGTACAGGTCCATGCTGGATTTCTGGGATTGCCACTGTTTCAGGTTTCCCCCAGATCCAAGTTCCTTACTGCTTTCCCCTCCATATTTAGTACGTTCCACATTTTCAGAGTAACTTGTCAACGTAGCTGGAAGGAAGAGATTATAAACAAAATGAGTAACAAAGCAAGAACGGCTTGAACACACGATGCTCAATGCTGAGCTGAGCCATGCAAGAGCCAAAAATGATCTTCATCATATTTTCCACATCCACATAAATCAGAGATTATGGATTTTAGTTTAACGATACTGTTTCTGCTTATGACTTCTAAAAGAACATTTAAGCTCTAATGTTTTGGCTCATACCGTTAAAACCCATCTGTAATTACAAAGAGAATTAAAAATTCTGTGCTGCATTGTATTCTAATACACCATTACAGAAAGAATAGAAATTATTTAGGAGGAAACATTACCATGGCTCCTCATGTCTTTTAATTGACATCATAGTTTCTACCTTTCCATTTACAGGAGACGTTTGCAGAAGTTTGCAAGATCTTGCAAGGTCTGACAATGAGAAGCCTCCACTGACCTGCCTGAACAACCAGCTCCCATGGATAAGTTTGGTTCAGAAACTGAATCCCTTATCTCATTTGACTGACAGTAAGTTTTTATGAAGCTTTAACTGTAATCCACTCAGTTTCCCCTATATTTGGGATAAGGATTGTTGCTATATTGACTTTCCTACTGGGAAGTGACAACACCCAATTGATCCAGGACATCCCCATGTTCTCCTTATTTGTATTTTCTCTTCTGGATTCCAGCATAGTTACACCCTGGCTGTAAATCCCTTTGGGCTATTGACTTTCCTCTCATCTTTAGTCCCAATATATTCATTCAAGGTCAAAATCTCAGTCACTGAGACAAGACACACTCACATCAGCTTATCTGAGTGTGTTAGAGAATCACAGAACGGTTTGGGTTGGAAGGGTCCTTACAAATCACCCAGTGCCACCCCCTGCCATGGGCAGGGACACCTGTGACTATCCCAGGTTGCTCCAAGCCCCGTCCTCAGCCTGGCCTTGGACACTTCCAGGAACAGGGAAGGAGCAACCTGGGATAGTGGAAGCCACAGCTTCTCTGAGAAACCTGTTCTTTATCCATCCTAACAAACTCCACAACAGCTTCAATCACCACCCCCGATTTCAATGGCTTGGTCACTGTTGGGTTTCTTTCTATGGAGTGGGTTCAGTCTCTCTGCATTCCATCAAATGTTCCAGAATTTAGTTGCTTGCAATGTATTTTGAAATTTAAAACCGACACATGCAACTTCTAAGAACTGGTATTTATTTGTTGGCATTTATACATAGGCTTGCTGTCAGGTAACCATATTTATTATTTAGGATAAGAAAACAGATAAAACAGATAGATAAAAACAGAAAACAGCTGTTCACACACTTCTCTTGCTCCCTCAAATTGTCTGAGAAATATGTTTGAAATGATTCTCTATAAAAAACTCTATTTCAAAGACTGGGTTTGTAGGGCAAGGCATGCCATGTTTTCCATTCACAGAAAAAAAAAACCCCATTGATCCATTAGAATCCATTAATTTTAAATGCCTATCTCAGTATGTGTCTAATTAGTCTTTGTAGAAACAAATCAGCAGCTGACATCAGCCATCTTCTAACACATCAAACTGAGGAAAAACAAAATAACCATGTGTCAAAATAAGTTTTCTCTAAGTGAAACAACAAAAAAGAAAAAAGAGCTGTTAAGTCCTGCTGCCCCCTTTTCTAATCAACAATTTGTGTTCATTTTAAACGTAATTTTCTTTGGTTTACACTAAAGCTATTTTATGTGCAAACACGTCATTGAATCAGGTATTTAGGACTGTTCCCTGTGGATTAATTTACCTGCTGAACAGCCCTGGATGATCTAAGTGCTGCTACACATGTTGAAGTGATGGCTCTATGGATTTAATCTCTTCTAGGAGCTGTTTTAAACAAAAATGATTTTAACTTTAGCTAAAAAGCAAAAGCATCAGGTTAGCTGTGAGTCAGCAACGTGAGCTGACATGCTGAGCACATCTCCCATAGTGTGACCCCCAGAGCTGCTCAGACACTACACCTTCACAGTGACAAGAGGAGAAAGTGTATTTCAGAAAGATAATGTCAGAAAATGTACATTATCTGCAACTACTAAGATGTAGAATGATATTTGGGGGAGAAAAGTTGTGAACACCAAGTTGGCAGATAAATACAATGAAAGTGCCAAGATTTGGGCAGCCCTGAAATGGTAAGGGAGTTGGATCAGGTGATCCTTGTAGGTCCCTTCACACTGCAATGGTCCTATTGCAGTAGGATAGTAGAATATTCTATTCTATTCTATTCTATTCTATTCTATTCTATTCTATTCTATTCTATTCTATTCTATTCTATTCTATTCTAT